CAGAAAGTTCTGGTAGTTCATCCACGTTTGGACTGCAGTCCTGTTCCAGAACCTGAGTGTTACGTGTGCATCCGTTTTACAGATCTGACTCATTTGTATGCAAACTGCTGGTTCCTTGACTCTCAGGCAGATGCACTCTAACTTCGAAGGAAGCCCCAGTTAGTCGACTCTTACAACATGCTTTTGGGTAGGCAGTGGGTCTATTCTTTTTTGTGTGCCTATAATAGGGTCCCGCACAGGAGGGGAGCTATTTTTATACTGTAATGTCTAGCTTGTGGTCGAGTATGAGCTGGTCAGTCAACCCTGTCGAGTTAGAGAGAAAGTTATAAAAAAATAATAATATTAACATTTAAAAAAACATCATGATAGGGAACATTGGGCCTGTGATTCTAGACTCGCATTCGTTTAGACCACTCACCCTCAGTGGATGATGTGGTCACTGTTACACCAGCCGACTTTGCTTCCTAGGACAGTACCCAATACTCATTTTAGACTGGGTTGACCTAGGAGCAACAACAACAACAAAAAAAATAATCTGCCTTGATGCATATTTGAAACCAAGACTGGTGGGCTGGCAGGTGAGTATCTGTCCACTACACCACAGTGGTTTTTATCCATTTAGAGAATACATTTTTATACTCTCATCTCTAGCCTGCTGGAGAATACGAGGAGGTTGACCTCAACCACTTCGCTAGCGGCAAAGATGCTTACATGGTTGTCAAGTCTAAGAAGGCTCTGGTTGCTCAGGATTCCATAATTAGGTCAACACAGCAGCAAGAGGAGAAGAGGATCAGCTTTCAGGTACTGAACTAGTCATTAAAACATCATGCACTGAGAAAGAGAGAGAGAGGGGGAAAGAGGAAGAGAAGTTGGGGGGATGCAGAGAGAGAGGGGGGGGGGCAGGCAGTGAGAGATAATGAAAGGAGAGGCAGTCAGAGGGAGGGGGAAAAAAGAGATTTGGGGAGATGCACACAGAGAGGCAGAAAAAGAGGCTGGGGTGGGTGGAGGGGGGGGGGGGGGGGGGAGCTTTCAAGTACTGATCTAGTTTTATAATAGCATGCATACAGATGGGGAGAGAGAAAGAGATTGGGGGAAATGCAGAGAGAGAGAGAGAGAAAGGCAAAGAAAGGATAAGAAAGTTGGATAGAAAAGGAAAGAGATCGAGAGAGGCAGGAAGTGAGAGAATGGGAGGGAGGGAGAGAGAAGCTTGTCAAGATAGCTGTTGTTTGATACCCTGTTGAAGCCATGTAGAGCGTCTCTATTTTCATTTTTCAACCTTCTTCAAATTTGATTGCTTGAATGACATTTCCCTTTCATTTATCCAGACTTTTCAAATAAATATAGAAACAATTAAAGTTTATTATTCCTTTTCTGATGCCTCAGATTATGTACCCAACATGTCTGAATTACATATTCATATATAAAACATCATATAATGCAATTCATTGACTAACACTAGCATTTAAGGGGAAGAACAGAGTCTAAGAAGCACATTACATATGACAACATTGGTCCTGAAATCCCAGCACTGTGCATTGACAACTAGCAGACAGTGATGTCAGAAATAATTTGGTGTATTCACAGTTAGACAGTGACATCAGACATATATATTTTGATTATGCCTTCAATGGTCAGATATTATATTTTGATCTCTGCACTCATAGAGAAAGAGGTTTGTCCCTGGCTGGTGTGAACTGGATAACAGCTGTCCTGCATTCACGTATGGATGGCCTTCGCCTGGGTACATGGACCTATGAACCATGTAATATAGCCCTGGAACTACCCCAGGGTTCTGCAATTTCATCGGTGCTCTTTAATGTGTATTCAATCAAGATCACAGAACTTGAAGCTCCAGGTGTTGGAAGGATATTGACATTTGCTGATGATGTTCTTGCATATAGGCAAGGGAGTGACAGACAACGGATAGCCCAAGAGCTGCAGGCAACTCTAGACAAAGTGACTGACTGGTGTGCAGAAATGGGTGCTGTCCTCAACCCAGAAAAGGTTTTATGGTGCTCTCTGGACAATAGAATTGTGAGAGCTAATGTTCCAAGCCTCACAATTAATAACAGTAACATCAAAAGAGAAAGCTAACTTAGGTACCTGGGTATCACTTTCGATAGAAGCCTGTCCTATAGGGAACACATGGAGACAGTCACAGTTAAATGCCAAAAAGGACTCAATGCTCTCAAGATTATGGCACAATGGACATGGAACAAAAAAGGCTGTTCACAATGTTCCAGCATGTGATCCTGTCGGTGATAGATTATGGACTTGGAATGTTTACCATATCAAAGAGTCAGCTGATAAATCTCGAACGCATACAGAATGAAACCATGTGGATAATTATGGGATGTACAAGAGATACCCCGGTAGTATGTATGCGATATATACTTGCACTGCCTACTATTGCAGATAGGCTCAAAATTCTGCAGGCAAAATCATATCTCAAAGTAGCTGCAGACAAGAAGCACCTCCTCTTTGAAACCCTTGATAGAGCTAAGGGCAACAAAATGAAAAAAAAAGGAAGGTCTTGGATGGCGCAAGCGGAAGATACAATTGGACATGTGTGCAAGCTTAATAAATTTTAGCGAGGTGAGGAGTGGGTCAAAGTGTCCGAATATGTTTCAGACTTGTGTAGGGTTCTAATCACTTTGGGTCATGAGTGTAGTGACTGGCCAGCTGGTGCTGCAGATTTAGAAGTTCAGCAAATGATTCATGACAATTCTTGCCCAGGTGATGTGATTATCTGTACAGATGGCTCTGTGTTGAGGGGTTCATAGCAAAGCCAAATGGACGTCGCTTAGTGCAGCAAAGCCTGGCATATGATATCACGTCTAGTTTGAGAATGGAGGTGGAGGCAGTCTCTGCTGCCTACCGCTGGCTTGAGAATCAGCTGTACACACAGGTCGTCATTGTAACACACTCACAGAGCATGATGAGAAAGGTGAAGACAGGTATGCTCCTTGCAGAGTGGCAAGCTTCACTTAAGAGGTCCGGGGTAGTTAGCATCCTTTGAATATGTACTCCAAATCATGCCTGTGTGTTGGAAAATGAGCAGGCAGATAGACTGGCTGGTTCTGCACCACTTGGTGGTGAATTGACAAGGTAGATTTTGTGAGGGCCCTTTGGGAACGAGTGAACAGTGTGAATGCGCAGATAGATCATTACGGTCTGAGGAAAATGGTGCTGCGAGAAGTTACCAGGGGATGTGGCCAACGCTCAACACTCAGGGGAAGGATGAGACGGATATACAATCAGACGGCTACGGGTGCCATCGGAATTGGAACTCTTTGCTTGCTGCTGAAAATGGGGACGGAGCACTTATGGGAGTGTCCCGAGTGCTGTGATGTCAATTCCTAATTAAACATTCAACAGTATTTGATGTCAGACATTATTTGGTGTATTAACAGTTGGCAGACAGTGATTTCAAACATTTTTTGGTGTATTGACAGTTGGCAGACAGTGATGTCAAACATGAGCTGTCCATCAAACAAGCCAGGAAGAGGATGTTTACAACTGGGAAGTACCAGATTGTTGTAAATGCAGAGGCCCACATTGGACAAAAAGTTGTGTCATTTGTTTCACTGCTGCAGGTAAGCAATTGATTTCTTTCTTTCTGTGGTCATCGGTACAAAGACAGTTGGCACATTGTGGTTTACAGCTAGGCTGTGATATCAGTGCCTTTCAGCCCAGCACATTTAGTGACAACACGTTTTACTTAATGCTTGTTATGAAGCATTGGTCCCTCCACGCCTCACGGCATTTTTTTCTAGTGGCGCTGGGGAAAGTCTGCTTGGACTTCTTTGTACTCGAGAAAGTAATCTCACTGAATTAACTTTTGTGTGTGTATGTGGTTTGTTTTGTGCCCCAGAAAGTTATCTGTTAAACTCTTTTATGCCTGGTTTGATTCCTGGTATAGACCAGTGGTTGCCAGATTTTAGGTTGGAGTGCTTCACATCTCAAAACCAAGAATAGACCTACACAAAACAAGTTTGGCGTACTCCGCAGCTCATCTGTGAAGCTAACTTCCACAGCTAATAAAAAATATCAGTAGCCTCTGTACATACAATCAGAATCTGTTTTAATATTATCTTGGCACAGACAATGTGTCCCCGTTAAAAAAAAAACTGGCTTTAAACATAATATGCCCCCCCCCCCCACCCCACCCCCATCATAAATATTTGCATATATTGTAGTTTTCAAGCTTATTTAAATATTTTCAAAACTAGGTGTCGACCTTTATGGCTGGTATAAAATGTGTAAGGTTGGTATAGACCTAACCAGGACCTTTGTTTTTCTAGGGGAATAAAGGTGCTGGTTTCACAAGTTTTAAAATAAAAAAAATATTTCTCTACTCCCCACAGAGTGTCTATTACAGCTGTGCTGAAGTACCAAAGTACTGTGCCTACCACACACACACACACACACACACATAAAAAAGTCCCAGAACTGCATACCATTAGAAGAAAAACAACAATCTTGGCCTAACTGAAAATGTTGAGCTGAAAATATCGAGGTTGACTTGTATTCCTTAAATTAGAATATTTGTAGAAGTTGAGCTAAACACCAATCCTTCTTGATTTGTGCAGTTATGAGGAATTGAACACACACCCTTTCCAAATGAACATCTTTGAAAACTGACAGAAACTACAGTAACCATGCCATTGTCTTGTAACTTAACATTGCTATTAAGGATGTCAAGAGTGTTAAGCGTGGGACATCATGTTACAGGTGAAAACGGTGACATGGCATGCTTTTTGTAATTTATATCACACTTTTAAGGTATTCATTTGAAGCCTCTTCATATCTATTATGTGAAAAAATTAAGTTTTACAAGGGTGAGGATGTTGGCCCCCCTCTCTCCCTTTCAACTGCAAACCTGGACAACCTGTAATATTCAGTTGTAATAATTAGAAATTGTCTTTAGAAATATATTCACTGATGTTTTGTTTATTTCAAACTATTTAATTTGATCTTTGAAACGATATTTTCCCTAGATAAGAAACCATTTGAAAGTACCAGTAGAGATTCTCTACAGAAGTGAAGGAGGCATTGTTTCCGTGGGAGAGGTAGGGTCAGAGGTCACATTTCCTGTCCCATTGGATGCTGTCTATAGTACCACAGGAGAGATATTCTTTCAACCAAAGAGTGAAGATGGCCGGTAAGGACATAGGTTTCAACTAACAGTTTTAAGTTAAAGATTTAAAGTTGAGAGAATCAGCTTCATTGCACTGTGATTTATCCCCAGATGGCTTGGTCTCTCTCCACGTCACACAAAGCGCGAACTCTCTAGCTTTGTCTCCAGGTATTTCTGTAGAAATTGCACATGTAAATCGAATGACGCAGTCACTGAAATAAATATACCACTTTCAGAGCTTGAGGAAAACTACATGCAACGTCGCCACTAGCAATTACATAATTGCCTGTTTTACTGGAAAGATTTGTTTCACTGGGAAGATTTCTTTTCTTTAGAATGGCATCTGTTTTGTCATAGAAGAGATCTTTTTATCTAAGGTTAAGCAAATCTGATTTTTGATTGTAACTGTGTAGAAAACACATTTGATGTCATACCATTCTGACACATGGATAAGGATTAGGGTTGAATGGCCTGGCGTCCGCTTTGAGTGCTGTGAAGTCCCGGGTTCATGCCCTGGGGAAGGCTGGCATATTTTCATGAGGACTTCTAGTATCTTTCCCTGGTCTCGGAGTAGTAACATTGGACGCCCATTTGTATTGTTGCACAATTAAGAAAATCCCAACATGGAGACTACCAGTTTGTAAGGACATTTTGGGGTGCATAAAATGTGTGGTTTTAGAGTCTATCTATTTTCTATTGTCTTCTTCACTTTTACCGGGTTGCAGCCCAGTGTCATGGTTTAAAATATTTGTTTTGTGCCTCTCGCGTGATTTGAGTGACAGTTTTCTGGATCTTTTGGCCGTATTCAGCTACTCCATCTATCCATTTTTTCCTGGGTCTTCCTCTGGCCTTTCTTCCCGATGTTCTACTGTAAAAGGCCTTATAGGCAATCTGATTCGGTTGCATTCTTACTAAATGGCCAAACCACTTAATTCTCTGCCTTTCAATATGTTCCATGCATGCTCTTGTTCCAACTTTGTCTCTAATGCTGACGTTTGTGACTCTGTCTCTTCGTGTATTGTTGGTGACTCTTCAGAGACATCGCATTTCACACGTAGTTATTTTTTGCATATGTGATTTGTTCACTGTCCACGTTTGGCACTGATAACATAACGTAGGGATGAAAATGCTGTTGATCATCCGTTGTTTGGCTGGTAACGAGATCTTTGGATGACGAAGAAGTGGGGCCAGTTGGTAGTTGACTGCATGTGGTTTTAGAGTGAAAATTATTAACTTGGCAAATGTTGAGTCAGTTGCATGTCCCTTTACTTTACATTGCGAACAAGCAGTATTATGTTAAAGTAGCTTACCATTTCTGCCTGAATGGTTGATGTTCATTCTGTTGTTGCAATCACTTCAAAACATTATGTTGCCAAATATACTGGGGTGTAGCTGAATCCACCCTGCTGTCTTGGGATTATGAAACTACATTCATAACTCAAAGCCACAGGCACCGACTGGCTGAGGTATTATTTGAGGCTTTCGGAATGAAGATCAAACCTCGAATAGGTTGGACAAGGACAAGAAAAAAGCATTTCATGGCAGAAGGATCCAGCAGATATGTCACACAGCTAACCATCATGGACCTGCTTTCTGTAACATGTGCACAAGAGAAACAAGTCTACACTTCTGATAAAATAGGAAGAAGCGAATAATCATCGTTAAATTATGTTTTATTTATTAATCAATGAAAAGAATCATCATCATTATGTTTCATTTATTAAACAATGAAGAGAATCATCATCATTAAATTATGTTTCATTTATTAAACAGTGAAGAGAATAATCATCATTAAATTATGTTTCATTTATTAAACAGTGAAGAGAATAATCATCATTAAATTATGTTTTTTTTTATTAAACAGAGAAGAGAATCATCATCATTAAATTATGTTTCATTTATTAAACAATGAAGAGAATAATCATCATTATGTTTCATTTATTAAACAGTGAAGGATGAGCAGTATTATGAATTCATTGAACAGTGATATTAATATTATGCATATTCTCGTTGCAGCTATGGGGTGTCCAAAGAAGGCGTGGCATGGAAAGGTGTAGGGGAGAACACAAAAGTCAAACAGATATCCTGTGAAATTACCAATAACAAGGAGACGCCAGCTTACTACTTCAATGTTCGTATATTTTCTGTTGTCTTATTACCAGAATAATTGATCTGATAACCTCTTAGCTAGGGCTGAAGAAACTTTGTTTTTGTCTTGATATTTTAACAAGATTTGATCACATTTACAGTATTTATGAAATCATAAAATTATTGCCACCTTTCCATTTTTCCAAATGGTAATGTTCCACTTTGCCTTACATCCTGTATGGTGAATTAAGTTTGGGTAGAAGATGTCAAGGTCGACCTCTACTACAATGTACAAATGTGTGGAAGCGGGACATAAATGATACAGGTATTGAGGTGGACTCAGAACAAAATGCCATGGACCATGTCAAGAAGGGAATGAGAGTGGAGGAAGAAATTATTGCAGAAAGGATGAGAGCTGGCATCTGAGAAGAAACAGACAAAACACAAATTTTGACAGCAGTGGTCCTGAAATCTCTTGCTATAATTGTGGAAGACTTTTCTCAACACCGGTGGGACTTGCTTATCACATTTGCTATCGCCATGTACTGTAAGTCCGATACACTATCGTCTGGAAAGACGCAAAGATGCCTGTCAATCAGGGAAGTATGGGAATCACAGCGATGGCAAGTAGGATCGGTTAAAATATAGCTCAGAGCCTGGGCAGTGTTGTAGAGACCATGTTTTGCCCATGCAGCATGATCCCTCTCTCAGCCTGCTTTGTTAACTTCAGAAATGTAACATCACAACATTTGGATCAAAGCATACTGCAGAATTAACCAGATCATAACAGCAGTGCTCTGTCTGCCTATCAGAGCTTCCTTCCTAGATCAACTGAAAACCAAGGCTAAAGGCTAGATTGAGTTGAGTTGAGTCAAGAATTGACATCACAGCACTCGGGGCATTCCCATGTGTGCTCCATCCTTATCTTCAGCAGCCAGCGCAGAGTTCCAGTACTGATGGTGCCGGTCACAATCTGGTTATATGTCTGTCTTGCCTTTCCTCTGAGTGTAGTGAGCTGGCCAGACCCTCTGGTTACACCCAGGTGCCTCATTCTCTCCAGGCTATAATAATCTTGTTTCTCTACTGATTTATTTCTTGTTCCCAAAGGGACTTGACCACATTAAAGGTTAGATGTGAAATTTACAACAAAGGAGAACTTTTAACCAGATTGCAACTGGAACTATTTGCATGAGAACTCTTCACTGGCCACTGAGGAGAGATACAGAGCAAGTCAAGGAACGAACAGAAGACATTGATGTCAGTTCCTGATTTATTCATTCATTTATTGAAAAACATGGAAAATGTACAAAAATAAAAAGTTTGAAACACATGAATAAACAAACACATCAATGACATAAAATATTAATAGATGCTCATCGTCATGTAGCAGGCTTTTTACAGAACATCACATCTTATCACGGCCCATTTGGCTGAAACCTGTCCCCTCGCTGGCTCCACTCTCATGCACTTTCCAGCACAAGGTGTGTCGTATTATCCTGTGCCTACATCTATGCTTGTTGGCATCTTTTTGGCTTTTCTTGATAAGTTTAATGATTGGTAATAAAGTATGATTTTTAACTCAGTTATTTTAGTTTCCAAGCCATTGTAGCATTTCGTATGGCTAAAATACTGTATTTTTCTGTTCATAAGACATGCCATTTAAGACGACCTCAGGTATTAAAATCCAAAATTAGGAAATAAATATTTTAAACACATTCTATGTATAAGACGTCCCTCAATTTTAAAGTTAACAATTTTAGGAAAATATATTGTTGTATATGCCGAAAACTATCGTACTCCCTTTTCCTTAGACAAAGTGCTGTTTACAAGCCAGTTTTCTTCAGTTTTCAGGTCTTTTAGAATATCAGTATTTCTGTTTAAATAGAAATTTATATCCTAGTTATAGCACAAAAGGAGGAACATGTTGGGAGAAAACTGCTGGTACAAATGACGTTTTCTTTGTGTAGGTGCTGCCCAAGTTTGAGAAAATTTACAGAGAAAACACAGATGAACTGGCGGATCAGATGATCACTTTTCACCTGCACCCAACAGTTATCTTCCACAACCTGCTGCCAGTCAACTTGCAGGTAACACTGGAGGTAAGGCATCTTTGTTGGATTGATTGTTAGCACACAGACTTACTGAAAGTTTATGTATGGTTTCTTTTATTCTGTACTGTTATGTTGTTGGATTGATTGTAGGCACACACACACACACACTTACTGAAAGTTTATGTATGGTTTCTTTTATTCTGTACTGTTATGTTGTTGGATTGATTGTTGGCAAACAGACTTACTGAAAGTTTATGGATGGTTTCTTTTATTCTGTACTGTTATGTTGTTGGATTGATTGTTGACACACAGACTTACTGAAAGTTTATTTATGGTTTCTTTTATTCTGTACTGTTATGTTGTTGGATTGATTGTTGGCACACAGACTTACTGAAAGTTTATGTATGGTTTCTTTTATTCTGTACTTTGTTGGATTGATTGTAGGCACACACACACACACTTACTGAAAGTTTATGTATGGTTTCTTTTTTTACTGTACAGTTAAGTTGCAATAATCTGCTTTGCACTAAGCTGACTCGTCTAGAGGATGATATGTGTCGTGAATGCTATTAGCACACATTCTACGTTGACATAACTGAGACGAGCTAACACCGACTTAGCTGTACAAAACATCACTTTATTGACATCTTAGAACTTACGTCATCGTCCAGTCGTTGTCCTAAGGAAACAGCTTTCACACAGTACGTCACGCAGACTACAACATGCTGGTTCCTCATGCAGTCACTGACCAGAGTTTGCAAAGATGTCTGGCTGGTCTTGGCTTCAAACGTCGTCGTCTGGGTTTCCTTTCACGTTGACATTCTTACACTCAGTCTCCCGTCCTTTCACTCTGACAGTTCAACACATACTAACTTGATCAGACTGGAGTCTGACATATACCACGGTTTAGTTTCACGTGGCAACACGTGGTGGTCCTTCACTTCCACGCAGCGACCTGTGGTTGCATCATCGTGTTACACGTGATAACTCATGGTCATCACCTATCTTGAAAACCTAGTTTAATCCGAATATCTGGAATATCTCGGTATTTTAGTTAACCTTGCGCATTCCCCCCAACCTTCCTAATCTGGGTGAAAATATCCCCCATTACATATGTTGTTGGATTGATTATTGGTACACAAACACAGTTACTAAAAGTTTATGTACGGTTTCTTTTATTCTGTACCGTTAAGTTGTTGGATTGATTGTTGGTACACAAACACACTTACTGAAAGATTATGTGTGGTTTCTTTTATTCTGTACTGTTATGTTGTTGGATTGATTGTTGGTACACAAACACACTTACTGAAAGTCTATGTGTGGTTTCTTTTATTCTGTACCATTATGTTGTTTAATTGATTGTTGGTACACAAACACACTTACTGAAAGATTATATATGGTTTCTTTTATTCTGTACAGTTATGTTGTTGGATTGATTGTTGGTACACAAACACACTTACTGAAAGTTTATGTGTGGTTTCTTTTATTCCGTTACGTTAATTTGGTTGGATTGATTGTTGGTACACAAACACACTTACTGACAGATTTTATATGGTTTCTTTTATTCTGTACTGTTATGTTGTTGGATTGATTGTTGTTACACAAACACACTTACTGAAAGTTTATGTGTGGTTTCTTTTATTCTGTACTGTTATGTTGTTGGATTGATTGTTGTTACACAAACACACTTACTGAAAGTTTATGTGTGGTTTCTTTTATTCTGTACTGTTGTTGGATTGATTGTTAGTACACAAACACACTTACTGAAAGATTATGTATGGTTTCTTTTATTCTGTACTGTTATGTTGTTGGATTGATTGTTGGTACACAAACACACTTACTGAAAGATTTTATATGGTTTCTTTTATTCTGTACTGTTATGTTGTTGGATTGATTGTTGTTACACAATCACACTTACTGAAAGTTTATGTGTGGTTTCTTATATTCTGTACTGTTGTTGGATTGATTGTTAGTACACAAACACACTTACTGAAAGATTATATATGGTTTCTTTTATTCTGTACTGTTATGTTGTTGGATTGATTGTTGGTACACAAACACACTTACTGAAAATTTATGTATGGTTTCTTTTGTTTTGTACTGTTATGAGTTTGGATTGATTGTTGGTACACAAACACACTTACTGAAAGATTATATATGGTTTCTTTTATTTTGTACTGTTATGTTGTTGGATTGATTGCTGGTACATAAACACACTTACTGAAAGATTATATGTGGTTTCTTTTATTCTCTACCGTTATGTTGTTGGATTGATTGTTGGTACACAAACACACTTACTGAAAGATTATGTGTGGTTTCCCTTTATTCTGTACTGTTAAGTTGTTGGATTGATTGTTGGTACACCAACACACTTACTGAAAGTTTATCTGTGGTTTCTTTTATTCTATTCTGTTGTTGCATTGATTGTTGGTACACAAACATACTTACTGAAAGATTATAGTGGTTTTTTTTTTTTTTCCAAATTCTGTTTCCAAATTAGCTAAAACCTTTTTTTTTTAAAGGTCTGCCAGGTACAAAATACTGTTTTTTGAAACTGTAGTCATTCTATGATCAGAGTAATTATAGTTTATAAATGTTAAAATGTTGGAATTACAAAGAAGATTGCATTCTCAAGTTGATAATTTTCTTTATAAAGAAATGATAGTAAAGTAAAGGTCCCTTTTCCACGCGCCTAAAGGTGTATAGGGCATATAGGGCTAGACCTATATTTTTATAGACCAATTGACACAAGATGGGTGACTGCACCTGGTACCCACTCAAGGCTAGGTCGATCTATCAGTCAAGGTGATTTTATTTTAAAATCCGGCTCCGCCAGAGAGTGAACCCACGACCTTCAGATCCATAAAGATATCATGGATCCCTTAAATTCGTTTAAATGGATTATTTCCTAATTCTGTTGTAAATGTTCACCTAGCTTTGAACTTTTGTGTTGTTCAGGGCACAGCAGAGACTTGTATTTTGGATGCAGGCCACCACGTGCCACTGAGCTACGCTTCAGTTAACCAGACTACCTTGGAAATTGTGGTGAGTTACGCATTCCTTGTATTTGTCTGGTATTTATGTTTGAATATGTATCAGAATGTGTTATTTACCTTGTAGCCTGGCAGGGGTGACCATGGCTGTGCACAACCAGCATTTCTAGTGTTTCTGTTCTCTGTAAATATGAATACACCAGAGGAGCAATGGCTTGCAGTTATGGCATCCATCTTGATTTGGAAAAGTCATGGATCTGAATCTACCTGTTGATGATTTTATCAATAAAGGGACTTGCGATGTTATATATTTATATTTATATATATATATATATATATATATATATATATATATATATATATATATATATATATATATATATATATATATATATATATATATATATATATATATATATATATATATATATATATATATATATATATATATATATATATATATATATATTCCTCTTTCCTGTGTCCTCTATTTTCTGAGCATCCTCATCTCTGGAAGTGAATGGTCAACGAATGAATGGGAGTTTTCTGGGTAGGAAAGGCAGTGGAGACTGGAACTAGTCTCACTCCTGTACAGCAGTTTCTGTTATGCGACCACAGCCACCTCTTATTTATCCCTGTCATGATTTGACTACCATGTGAACGAGAGCTGTTGGTGTGTTGGTAATAGACCCACCACCCTCTTACAAGCATGTTATAATAAAAGGCAACTGATTAGTGGTCTTTCCTACAAAGCTGGAGTTCATCTGCAAAGAAATAAGTCAAATCTACGGAACAAATGCACACACAAAACTCAAGTTCTGGAACAGGACTAAGTCCAGAAGTGGACGAGCCACCAAAACTTTCCACTGGAGTTTAAAGCCTGTGAATGCTAAGAAGAATATTACTAGGTAAATGTAAAAATTTTTTTTTACCTTATTGAAGATGTATACCTATGACCACCAGACTGACAGGCAGACATACTATAGTCTGTTGCTGAAGTTGTGCCTGACTTTAAAAATCTGTAACTCGGTAATCATAAGGTGTAAGTTGTTGAAATTTGGCATGCAACCTGTTAATAGTCATGTCCTGTAAGCATTTAAAAAAAAAAATGTAAATAAACATCTAGTTTTCATTTTGCCAAAATAGTGTTATGTAAAAAAAAAAAAAAAAAATATTTGACACTGATTCAAAGCCAACAATTAGCATGCTTACAGTTGACTGAGTAACGGGAACTTTTCAAAACATCAAATTGTACATGTTTTATAAATGTTTCTAACTCTGAGGTGGTCATCGCAATATTAGTCTTACATGAGTTAGATGAACGAACGAACAAACAAGCTCTATTTTCAAAGGGTTACAAATTGGGCACGCAGGCCCGTCTGACATTCGGCCCTTCTAAGCACTCATTTTTCAGAGTACCAGTACCTATAATCAATAATGCATGTTATGAATATAATAAAGAAATATGCATTATAGAATAATGCATACACACATCATGTGTACACAATCTTACACACTCACACAAACGTATATATACTCACATACTTACATTCTCATACATGCACATTGATATACAGACATACCTAATACATACATACACGCATCTACATACATTTACAAACAGGCAAGACACACACATACACATATTGACATACATGCACACACACATTCATTCCATACATACACACCTAAACATGCATGTATGCATACACACACATACAATCACATGTACAGACACCCACATACGTTCACAACCACACATCTACACTCACATGCATACCTACATACACATGCATGCATGCATACATACACACATCTATACATATACCTACATCTTTACACACATACATACATACATACTTGCATACATACCTAAATACATACACCCACATACTTACACCCACATACATACATACATACATACATACATACATACATACATACATACATACATACATACATACATACATACATACATACATACATACATACATACATACATACATACATACATACATACATACATACATACATACATACATACACACATCTATACATATACCTACATCTTTACACACAAACATGCATACATACTTGCATACATACCTAAATACACACACATACGCCCACATACTTACACTGCTACAATTGCATACATACATCTACAAACATGCATACATACACACATACATGCATACATACACCCACATACATGCCCACACACATTACATACATACACACATATATATACAGCGACCCAAACAGATACCCACATACATACATACATTAGATGGACAACATGGGATAGGCTGTCAGAATAATCACCATGCTGCATGTGTGAACTGAATTACAAACAATCTGTGTGTGTTTCAATTACTGTATGCTTTTTTTTACACAAATTATTAGTTTAACAAAGGTCAGATAAATTGGCCACTTTAAGAAAAACAAAAGCAGCACCTGTGCAGCTGTAAATGATAAAATCACAGGAACATGGGGAATCTAAGACAGTCGGCAAAAATGTGTGTTAATCCTTTATACAGGAGTTTTTGAGATATTTGTTAACGTGTGAAGGCACAACTTCTGTAGCGCCTGCAGCTACTGTATTATGATGGCTGCTTGTGAGGGGTGGACAAATCATATTTGAGTACATCAATAATTGGATCCGCATTGGCAAAGAAGCTAGACACTTACCTACTGGCCCAAAGGTCTTGAGTTTTAATCAGCACTGGGTGAATGTAAAGAAAAAGAATGACCATAGCTCCACTGTAAACCCTGCCAAAAAATTGGTATCAGGAAATGTCCTGGAAAGTAAAGGTGGCCAGGATGATGTTGACTATTTAACCCATCATTATAAAATTTGTCTTTAAAAAATATGAGTCTAGCATCATATATACAGCACTAGTGTTAAAAGGTTCTTTACTTACTAGTGTAAGTAATACAGTTGTGTGTGTGAGTTGCCAGATTATTCTCATTTTCCACAAGAACTGCGTATTCTAATGTATTCTTTCTCTTACGCATAAACCAAACATTTTTTTTACAAAGGAGCCTCTGGAACTCATGGTACATTTTTCTATTTGTTGTTTTACATTTTTTCTTGTTGCAGACTTGTTTCATTAAATTTTCACATTTAATGATTACTAACATTATTTTATTCATTTATGTTTTACATTTTAATTATATCTAATCAGTATACCCCCCACCCCCCTCTATCTTTCTCTCTGTCTCTCTCTCTCTCTCTCTCTCTATCTCTCTCCCCCCCCCCCCCCCCTCTCTCTCTCTTGTCTCTCACGCGCATGCACACACACACACATGCAACCACCCAACCACTGGGATGAAAAGAAGAAGACTGGGTTGACCTGGGCACCAAGGTCAGGTTTGAGAAAATTTCATGCAGAACTGTTGACTTCTGGATGCACATGTGGAGAACTGTTGACTTCTGGATGCACAGGTGGACATAGAGCCACTACACTGTGGCAGCTCCCACTTTTATTTAGTCCCCCTGGAATAATCACATTCACCCTCAATATCCACATGAGACCACTACTACTGGTTGAAGTTTGGAACTGTCAGTACTAAAACTGCTACTACCACCACTGCTACTACCACCACTGCTACTACCACCACTGCTACTACCACCACTGCTACTACCACCACTGCTACACTCCACATGGCATCTTCACATTCTAGTTGTCTAAATTGTCTACTGGGACACTTGGTCGACCCCTGACCTCATCTCTCTGTAACATGAACTTGTTTACATGGTCTCACTGGTTCACCTGGTTTATGCTAAACCCATGATACAAGTTTTACTGTCAGTCTCATTCGATCCTTACCTCTACAAGGATTCGGACAGTCATCATCATCATCATTGGCATCATCATCATCAGCAGCAGCAGAGTGCCACCACTGCTACATTTTTTTGTGTAAATATGATTATATGATGTTTAGAATTAAATGATTATTTTAAATGTTTAAAACTAGATGATTATTTTAATGCATAAGATTCAAAATTATTTTGATGTTAAAATTATATGATTAGTTTAGTGTTTAAAATTAGATTATTTTGATGCATAAAACTAGATTATTTTGATGTTGACAATTAGGAAATTATTTTGATATTACAAATTAGAAGATTATTTTGATGTTTAAAATGAGTTGAATTGATCAGAAATCTTTGTTTGTTTCCTTCTGTTTGTGAAGATTCTTGAGTACAGAGGCCAGAAGTGGAAAGGGAAAAAACTCATTCGCCTGGATGTTCCTGAGCTGAGTGTTCTGACATTTCAAGTTGAGAACGGCGGACAGAGTACTTACATGGTATAGTTCTTAGTGTTTGTTTTGTTTCATACACTTCTCTAAGGGACTTGAATGTGGTAGTGGTGGACAGAGTACTTACATGGTATAGTTCTTTCTTAGTGTTTGTTTTGTTTCATACACTTCTCTAAGGGACTTGAATTTGGTAGTGGCGATCAGCTCTTGCAGAAGTCACAAATAAACTTATCACTCAATAAAGTTGTCGCTCAGGGGGGTGTTGTGGTCAGTGTTACACTGACTGCCTTTAGTTCTGAAGACATTTTCTGGCACTCTTAGACAAGGGACACAAATGTGGTAGTGTTGATTAGCTCTTGCAGAAGAGACAGTAAAGCTGCATCACTATTGTTTACCTTTAATCATGGTGTTTAACCTCTTTCGTTGATTAAAAAAAAAAAAAAAACAGATAACAAAATGCAGTGTGGTGTATATCAAAATTGTGACGGGCATCTTTAAACTGTCATTATGATGTAACCATGTTCATGTGCCCTGTGATATCATGGGCTTAACTCTCTTGGCATCCTTAACAGCAAAATTGACAGGTTACAAGACCATGGCATCATTATATTGATTTCTGTAACACTTTTAAGGTTTTCATTTGACCCCCCTCCCCCATAGGGAAGTAACATATAAATAAATGACTAAATATTTGAAAAGGAAGTAAAAGCGACGAAAGGTAAGATAAACTATGTCTAGTTTAACATTTCCTACATTTTTATCTCAAATTTTGCTTCCTAAATTATGCTCAATATATTCATCTGGGAAAGTAAAAGTAAAAAAGAGGAAATAGTGAAATATTATCAAAAGACGAGATCAACAATAGATGTATGTAAGCAAACAGCTTTTTGGACAAGTAACACCAATAAAGAGAACTAAACTTGTATCAGTAGTCACCTTAAAAATATATACCCAAAAAAAAAAAAAAAAAATCACACTATAGCACTCGTTTTATTGGCTCTGTGCCAGTAATGCCAGACCTCAATAATGACAAAAAGATAGACCAGAAAAATTACAACTGAAATAAGATTCTTCAGAAGAGCACTCAACATAATTGAGAAGTGATAGTATAGGATCACTAATAATGAACTACAAACGAAAGTTAGTTGCAGGTCTAAATTTCATTACAACAAGCAGTGATGTACTGACCAGGTGCTACAAACAAAAGTTAGTTGCAGGTCTAAATTTCATTACAACAAGCAGTGATGTACTGACCAGGTGGGAATTTAGAGAGAGGCTGACCGCATAAACAGACTCTGTGGGAATTCCCAAATTTTGAAGCATGCAAACGAGCACTTTTCTACAAAATGTACTTCACCTCCATATGTAATATGACCTGACATGATGACAACATCGCAAGGTACAGTAAGGTTAAGGTGAGATAAGTTCAACCAGAAATGAATTACTGAAAGAAGACAGTAAAATAAAATGAATTACTAGCCATGTTTCGAGGTGCAACAGTAAGATTAATTTTTCACTATCTCTCGAGATGAGATAAAAAATATCATAAATTATTAGCTACATTTTGAGATAAAAAAATAAATAAATTAAATTAAATTAAATTGTTAGCTATGTTTTGAAATAAACAGTAAGATAAATTGTTAGCTATGTTTAGAGATGAGACAATAAATTTATATTAATTTTTTTTTTCAAGTTTGAACAATCAAATTATATAAATATTTAGCTATGTTTCAAGATGAGACAATCAAATAAATTACTAGCTTTGTTTCAAGATGAGACAATCAAATAAATTACTAGCTATGTTTCAAGATGAGACAATCAAATAAATTACTAGCTATGTTTCAAGATGAGACAATCAAATAAATTACTAGCTATGTTTCAAGATGAGACAATCAAATAAATTACTAGCTATGTTTCAAGATGAGACAATCAAATAAATTACAAGCTATGTTTCAAGATTAGACAATCAAATAAATTACAAGCTATGTTTTAAGATGAGACAGTCAAATAAATTACAAGCTATGTTTCAAGATGAGACAATCAAATAAATTACTAGCTATGTTTCAAGATGAGACAATCAAATAAATTACAAGCTATGTTTCAAGATTAGACAATCAAATAAATTACAAGCTATGTTTTAAGATGAGACAGTCAAATAAATTACTTGCTGTTTCAAGAACATTCCCATCATCCTCCTCAGACTCATGATACACACACACACACAAAACACTTTGCTGATATCCTGTTCAATTCACGCTGTGTTTGTGTGTTTTTGTTGTTTTCTGTTTTTTTGTATAACATGTAATAATATCCAAGTATCTAAGTACTTGGGTGCAAAAATTCAGCTGCTCCAACATACTAAGAGAAGAAATACAATTTAGAAAACAGTCTGGAAATACAATATGCCCTTCAACATCTGCTGTCTTTGTCTCATAACAGCAAGATCAAAATAGACCAGTCATTTTATATGGCTCTGAAACTTGGAGCACGACTAAAAGAGATGATCCCTTATTAAACATGTTTGAAAACGGTCTTTTAACAAATCTTTGGACCCATCAAAGATGCAAACAGCAGGAAATGGAGAGTGAGAAGCAACAGCAAAATTCAGAAACTGTTTAAATCACCATTGATCACTGGCATCATGAGAGCTAATAGACTGACATGGCTGGGGCATATTTAGAGAATGTCCGATGACAGAAAGGTAAAAACTATGCACAAAAAAGAGTTGAATGGTCACAGACCACAAGCAGACCAAGAAGATGATGGAGAGAATTCAAGCTCACTGCGTGGGTTCTGGGGCCGTTCTAGGGAAAACAAGAACACACTCACTGCCTACCGAAAAGCATGTCATAAAGAGTCAACTGATTGGGATTCCTTCGAAGTCGGAGTGCATCTGCCTGAGAGGCAAGTAACCAACAGTCTGCTCGCAAGTGAGTCAGATCAGTCAACCGTATGCACACGCAACAATCAGGTTCTAAAACAGGACTGCAGTCCAGAAGTGGACGAACAACCAGAACTTTCTGCCGGAGTAATATTATCTAATGAACCTTAAGGGCTCGGAATGCTGAAGAAGAAGATGTAATAGTATCTAATGAACCTTAAGGGCTCAGAATGCCAAAGAAGAAGATGTAATAGTATCTAATGAACCTCAAGGCCTCAGAATGCTGAAGACGAAGAAGTAATAGTAACTTATGAACCTCAAGGCCTCAGAAAGCTGAAGAAGAAGATGTAATCGTATCTAATGAACCTCAAGGCCTCAGAATGCTGAAGACAAAGAAGTAATAGTATCTAATGAACCTCAAGGCCTCAGAAAGCTGAAGAAGAAGATGTAATCGTATCTAATGAACCTCAAGGCCTCAGAAAGCTGAAGAAAAAGATGTAATAGTATCTAATGAACCTTAAGGCCTCAGAAAGCTGAAGAAGAAGATGTAATCGTATCTAATGAACCTCAAGGCCTCAGAAAGCTGAAGAAAAAGATGTAATAGTATCTAATGAACCTTAAGGCCTCAGAAAGCTGAAGAAGAAGATGTAATCGTATCTAATGAACCTCAAGGCCTCAGAAAGCTGAAGAAAAAGATGTAATAGTATCTAATGAACCTTAAGGCCTCAGAATGCTGAAGACGAAGATGTGATATTATCTAAATGATTTTTGTTTTTGTCTTCTCATACCAGGACCTTGGGCTTCACTGTAAGGAAAAAGATGGTAGCTTTGATCTGACTGTCTACAGTCCATACTGGATTGTCAACCTGACTGACCAGGATATAGCCTTGAAGGTTTGTTTCTGATGCGCTTTCTTCTAGTCTTGCGTGGCACATCAGAAGTTGTTATTTCTGGAAATTAATATTAATGCTGCTAAAGAATTTGATAGATTTTTATGTGATGGTACGGAGCATTAATTAAGGCTTGTTAGGTTCCTGTGTGGTGGTATCAAATAGGTAATAGTACTTGTTAGGTCCCTGTATGGTGGTATAGAATAGGTTATAGTACTTGTTAGGTCCCTGTGTGGTGGTATAGAAAAGGTTATAGTATACCTGTTAGGTCCCTGTGTGGTGGTATAGAATAGGTAATAGTATTTGTTAGGTGCCTGTGTGTGGTATCAAATAGGTAATAGTACATGTTAGGTTTCTATGTGGTGGTAAAAAATAGGTTATAGTACTTGTTAGGTTCTTATGTGGTGGTATAGAATAGGTTATAGTACTTGTTAGGTTCTTATGTTGTGGTATAGAATAGGTTATAGTACTTGTTAGGTTTTTATGTGGTGGTATAGAATAGGTTATAGTACTTGTTAGGTTCCGGTGTGGTGGTATAGAATAGGTTATAGTACTTGTTAGATTCCTGTTTGGTCGTAAAGAATAGGTTATTGTACTTGTTAGGTTCTTATGTGGTGGTATAGAATAGGGTATAGTACTTGTTAGGTTCTTATGTGGTGGTATAGAATAGGTTATAGTACTTGTTAAATTAATGTATAGTGTTATCGTACATCTAATAGTACTGTTAAAATATTATGTGGTGGTATAGAACACACACACACATATATATTTTTTTTTCAGTGTTAGCCACTGTTCTTGTAATCTTTGCTGCTATACTTTCTACATACACTGTTTTTCTTACTCCAGGAAGATGACAAAGAAAGCCCATTAGTACAAGAGAAAGGCAGCAAGGACATCATGCTTTTCTACTTCCGGGACAAGACGATGATTGGAGGCACTGCCAAGAAGAAAGTGAGTGGAATTAAGTCATTACCTGAGCAACGAAGGGTGTGCAGTTATCTTCATGAGGTCACTTGTCTATAATAGAACATAAAATTGCAGCAGTGTTTTCTGTGGAAAATACCACCTGGTTTGTATCACTTACTGAATAAATTTTTGTTTCCTTGCATGCTAGGGAAATTTGTTCTTCAATTTTTTAAAATGATTCCAACATTCCCGGAATGACTTGCAGCATCATTGTTTGAAGAGTTGTCTGGAGTGAGTATTTGTATATGTTTCATGTATGGTAGGGTTTGGAGCTTTAGATATCCCACCTATCTGTTCTTGACAAGTGCAGTCTCTTGTTCTGTTCCTATGTGGTAGGGTTTGGAGCTTTAGATATCCCATCTATCTGTTCTTGATAAGTACAGTCTCTTGTTCTGTTCGCATGTATCTCAGTGCTCTAGTTTTCTGTAAAATACTAATGGTAATCTTGTTATATTACTTTGTTTTAAATTTAACTATTCCACATGGAGCAAAGTGACATCATATTGAGATTATTATGACAGCACAATTCCAAAATGTCAATTTTTATACCACCCCAAATATTATCTCAAAATATGATTTTTGAACTATAATCATACCCAATGGGTCTACTCACTGTGCGATTGCAACAAGTGTCAACGCTGTATTAGGAGCGTGGCCACTTTTTAAAGATACCTTGTCCTGAAAACCGTTAAATGCAGGAAAAGTGGCTTTCCCGAGGTGAAAGAGTTAAACTGGCTAACAGGGTTAATGTCTAGTTCCTTATAAGTTCTCAGCATGAGTGATTACAAAATGCTATCTTATTCCTTCTGTTATGAGCAGACAACTGATGATAAATGGTTGTAGTTTATTAGTTCTTTCCATTTTTCTTCTTCATATCTTTAATATTTTAAAAATATTGAATTAAACTGTTCCGTTTATTATTGCAGCTGAGTATGCTGTGAAAATTAACCAAGCAGAAAAAAAAAAAAGTTTCATGGTATCATTCATTCTTTCATTCATTCGTTAGTTAGTTAGTTGGGTTATCATCATTGCACTCCGGACATGTCCATAGGTGCTCAGATCCTCCCCTCAGTATGAATCCCAACGTCCGATGGCTAATAGTACCAGTTCTATGTTGATTAACAAGTCTTCTGACGTGTCCGGTGTGCGTCTCGTTTTTTGCTGTGCCGATCTTAATTCCCAAGTCTGCCATTCTGGCGAGTGATGTGGATTCACTGCCACCAAAGTCCTCTATCCTTCCCATTTCTCTGAGGGCATTGATAATATCAGCATGATCCATAGGCCGACCGTCGGTAGTGATAGCGGATCCAGCCAACCTGTCAGCTCTTTCATTTCCATCGACGCCTGCGTGTCCCGGAACAAAAATAAAGGTGACTCCTCGCACAGTGGACTTCTGAATTGATTCAAGCCATTGTCTTCGCACTGAACCTGCCTGAACCCTCCGGATCATACTCATTGAATCACTGAGTATACATATGCGGGTGTATTTTTGTGTTTCAAGCCAGGCAAACGCTTGCGTCACTGCCATCACCTCCATCGTCATGCTGCTGGTTGTCATGGAGAAGGCGCCGTTGGCTTCTTTGACTGTTCTGCCCGCTGAGCGTGCTGTAAATGCCCATGCGCTTCTTCTTTGGCGTATAACTGATCCGTCTGTATAGATTAGTGCATCTGCTTCGTCTGAATTTTCACCGATGAGAGTTTTTTCATTCATTCATTCATTTATTTACAGGCATCTAAAAGCAAGAGGGTATGGACATTTCCTTTTGACACGTTTTCCCTCACCTGTGTGTTGTGTTTGTTCCCTTCCTATATTTTACAGTTTGTACCATCCCTCTGCTTCTTGGAACCTGTGCTAAACTTCAGCTGCTTGAATTTCTGATCACTTCTTTTTGCAGCTTTGTGAAGATCTACTTTCCTAAATATTGTTCTAACTTTATCTTGCAATTTTTGCTTAGTTTCTACTTCTTAGATCTATGTTCACCTAATCTTGGGATCTATGTTCACTTAATCTTGGGATCTATGTTCACTTAATCTTGGGATCTGTGTTTACTTAATCTTGAGATCTGTGTTCACTTAATCTTGGGATCTGTGTTCACTTAATCTTGAGATCTGTGTTCACTTAATCTTGGGATCTGTGTTCACTTAATCTAGGGATCTATGCTCCTTGGATATCTTGAAATCTACTGTTCTTTTTAAACCCAAACATGATCAGCCTTATAAGATCAACAATCTCTTTTTTGCCGGATAACAAATCTCTTCTTTGAAATTCTTGTCATTTTGCTTTTGACATGTTTTTCTATACTCTACACATCCAGTGATTTGAATATTTGTCCACCAAAATGTACCCATTCCTCAGGTTTACTGACACCTTTTATACCTGTGTCTCTTATAATTTGACTATGTATATGTTTTTTTTTTTTAATTTCTCTAACAGTGCTCCATAAATGCCAAACATTCTTGACCGATGACCTCACCATTTTTTAATGATTGATTGAAAATACAAATATATCTTGTTTGATTGAACTGTCAGTTTTAACGTATTTATTTATTATCTCCTAATATGTTCCTACAAAATCCATACTTCTGTGAGTACTTGAAAAACTTGAATACTTGAGTGAGTAGTGAAATTAAGGAGTCAATCTGCTTATCAGTGAAGGTGGTAAACTTTTGTAAAAATTCATGTTATCATCATACATTCATGTTTGCTGAATTTAATGTCATTTCTATAGTTTAGGGACCTTTACCATTGCAATGAAGTTTGTTCACTGAACTGAGATTTTCTTAGTTTGATCTGCAGAAGAATTTTTGTAACTTCAGAAATGATTGAAAACTTAAGCTCCAACTATACTTAAGAACAAACGTCACCAACACTATTTTGTTTTTGTTTTTGTTTACACAGTCATCATTATCATTACTATGTTGTGCCATTCTGCGGAACATAGGGATTCCATCCATTCCTTCATTCCGTTGTGTCCTGCACAGTTCTTCCAATATCATGGATGGAATCCAGTCCAGTACCTTTAGCCTCTCTCAGCAGTACATGTTTTAGGTTTTCTCTGGAATAGACTCATTTTCTCAGTCCAGATGATTAATATATCTGACTAGTCTAAAAATTGATGATCTAGCACTACATTTCTGATATACTTCTGAATTAAACATTTTTTTTTCAAAAGATATCGTAATGCTTTATATCTGGCCCTGGTACTTACATCATTATTTTGTACTGTAAAGTCACACCCCTTCTTCATAGTAAATTCTTTCTACTCACTCTACTTTCTCATTTTATTACAAACTTTGAGTATTGTAATCATCTGATCTTTTAAGCATACAAAAATATATATATATGTATATATATAAATATGTATATGTATATATATGTATATATACACACACACATATATATATATTTTCCTGTCATCTTGCAATGTTATCAGATCCCTCCCACCCATGTTCAAGCCTTTGTAACTCTACCTCATTTTCCTGTGACCCAGCTTCATGTTGTTTGTGACATAAGAGAACCACAGCTTTAAAGTAGCAATATAAATTGAACAGAATGTAAATACCTTGGTTGAAATGCTGCTGGTTAAAAGAACAAATTTAGTTGCACATCCTCTTTGTAAAATCCCAGCACTGATTGGCTGTCCCTCGGCTTTACTTTTGCTGATTTACAATCAGTAATTTGCTGTTGCTTTGTGAACATTACTACTCTCGGACCTTTTTCAAAATCACCACAAAACAGTCTGCTATGAAATCACTTGCTGGCAGCTTAGGAGCCTATTTTATATATATGGATTATGAAACTGTGAACTGCAGACATACTTGTATGGCATTAAAGAACTTTTAAAGTGAATCATTTCATTAAAACCAATTTTTTTGCAAGCATGTGCGACCATTGTCATTGAGTTCTTGCTGACTCCTTAGGAACCCTCGAGTGAGAAGAAAAAAGACAAAGTTAAGGAGGTGAAAAAACCTGGCAAAGTAGGTTTGCTTTGATCTTTTGGACGTGACCAGACACATTGTGTAGCCATGTGTTGTCTGGCCACTTGTTGTCCTGCTTGCTGGTGTCAGTGTATCTACATCATTAGGCATGTTGAAGTACTGCTAGACTTTGCTCGCCTGTCCCCAATAGTGTGTAGCATTCATGATTTTTTATTTAATTTATCTGTCTGGCTTAACTCTTTGAGTCCCAAGGAACACATCATACGTTCATAGGTTCCTACCTAGAAGCCACCGAACGCAAGATGCGCTGGTTTAATGACTCTCTTTACTACCCCCTGGGCATGTGATGCTAAACATCCTGGGACTCAAAGAGTTAAAGCATGGTTTTTATGTTGCCGCTGACAGTGCCTTTGAAGTTAGCTGCTGTGCATGTTTTATTATTTATTTTTGGGGAATTGCCGTAGAACATTATTGATGCGTAGTATATTAATCTTCTTTTTTTTCTTCTGGCTGTAAGCTGTTGCGGAAATTCCTAATTGTTTGTGCCAGGACTTGAGTTTTTGTACGTACATCCATTCTACTGGCATGTTTGTGTGCAGTTGTTTGTGCCAGGACTTGAGTTTTTGTACGTACATCCATTCTACTGGCATGTTTGTGTGCAGTTGTTTGTGCCTTGCAGCTCAGGCAGATGCACTCCGACTTCAAAGGAAGTCCCCAGTCAGTCGACTCCTAGGACATGCTTGTTATGGAGGCAGTGGGTCTATTCTTGTTTTCCCCACAATAGGTCCCCAGAACCCTCACAGGGAGCATGGTAATTAAACTTGTTAGTTGTTGTCTGTATCAACATCCTATCACATCAGTCCGACCCATTCATGTTCCGTCTTCTGCGGCAGCCATCTCACGGTCTCCCTGCTCAGTGTCTCCATGCTCAGTGTACCTTGTAGGAGTAAAAAGGCACAACTACCTTTTTTACCTCACAACCAGTTTCCGCATACTTGTCCTTGTTTATTACCCATTTTCAATAGATGGTTTGTTGTCTCTGACTC